ACACACATATAGCCAAGGAAAATGGTAATCAATGTTACAGTTCCAACATGAACAAAAGAACATCTAGCGATACCTAGATATAAGGCCTGACTTCTGATTACCTTCTACTATCCCTTTCTTTAAAAAAAGTAAACTCAGATCACAGAATTATGCACTTGCCATAATTGAACATGAAGTCATGTGTGAAGAGATTTAAAGTAATATCTGACTTGTAATTGTCTTCTAAGTAAACCCCTTAATTTAAGGTAAAAAAAATCAAAATAACAGTTTCTGTAAAGCATCATCCTCAGGAGTGTAATATAGGATGTAATAATTTCCTAACAATCTCAAAGGAAACGAGGTGCAAAAATGGCTTTCAGTCTGAAAGCAACAAAACTCTCTTATTTTGATTTCAGAATAGTCTATAAGAGGAAGGCACAGAGCGATACCCTAATTCATGTGGTTGTTCACAATATAGTTGATCAAGAAGCTTGCATTTCATAACTGAGGCAAAAATTTTAACAGAATTACCTAGTTAAAACTTTCAAAACTGCATCTATAAATCTAGTATGAAATGTAACCATTTGAAAGTACAATAAACAATTCTATGAAGTATGAATCATCTCCTTTCTCAATATACATGCATTTTTTTAAGCTCCGAAAAATCCAAAGTAAACACCCCGAAAATAAAAGAACCATTCCTACTTAACTTTCTACCTAACACATGCCTTCGGTATTTCAACTTAGACCCAAAACATGCGAATCTACATCAATGTCACGCTCACAAAGACTTAATAAACGTTTTTTTAAAAAAAAGAAAAAAGAAATGATAGGAGAAAACTTACGAGATGATTAACAATATGCGAGCCCGATGTATTCCCTCTTGAATTACAAAACCACTTCCTACACGAAGGAACGTTACAGCGAACCACGCAAGCCGGGTTCGAAACCCCACAATACCGACAAGCATGCTCGGCGAAATTCCCTTTTCCGTAGTCATACCCGCCATCCTCATCCCCAGCCATCTCCTCAAAATTCAATCCACTTATCCCCGTCGCCAACGCATCCACCGCGGCCGCACTATTGCTATGGCTGTTGTTATTGCTCGTTGAGGCACGGCCAACGTCTTTTGAAGCACTAGAGGGGGAGGAGGAAGCGGCAGTGTCCGAGTGGTGGTCGGAGCCAGATCGTTCGGCAGAGTGTGCGTCAGATGGTGTTGGCCATGAACGAATCGGGTCGCGGAAGTCCGTGTACTCGAAATCGGACTCACCTTGGGTGTTGAATTCGAGAAAGGTGTAAGCGTCGGTGGCCGGGTCAGGCTGAGAGGCCGTCTCGAATTGAGAATTCATGGAAGAAATTTTTCAATGCCGAAGCGTTATCGTGAAGATTAAGATTAGGGTTTTTGATGTTGTTTTCTGAGTTATGGTTAAAATAGCGAAATTGAACTGAAAGATGGAAAGAGGTTAAACCTTATTATATATTAATTAAAAATTAAAATTATCACTCCATATATATTTTTTGCAAACGTATTTGTCAAACTATATATGTGATCACTTTTGTTTTATTTTATTTTGATTTTTACCATTTAACTTTTAACATTTATATTTCAATCACGCATATTATTGATTATTTATAAATAGTCACTCGAATGTTAATTCAGCCACATTGATACGTGTGTTAACAAAAATAATAATTTCTAATTTGACTCATAAAATTTTTTAAAATATATAAATTAATAATTTTTATAATTTTTAAACTATAATACTTAAAAAGATTATAAAAAATATAAAAATATTATTGAAATTTTAATTTTTCAAAAATTCAAATAAATATATGGAATTTTAAAATATGTATACAATTCAAAATACAAATTCCAATATCTCTCTTTTGACATAAAGTAAGATTAAAATTCATACATAATGTTCTCCATGATTCATTCAATAAGCATTTCTTCAATTCTTTTTTTCGAATTTACTATTTCCTTCTTCATAGTAAGCATTTTTCTTCCTGATTTACTCAATAAACTTTATAATGTTATGATTTTTTGCATAATGATAAATTTATCCAAACATTTGCAAAAATAATTATTTTGGTCCACATTTTTTGGAATATATTAGCTTCAATATTTTTAGAAATTTTAAAAGTATAGTTAAAAAAGTAAAAGCATTTTATTTTTAAAAAATAAAAATAAATATTTATTCTAGATGTGAGGCACTTGCATCACCGTTCCAGTCGCTAATGAAAATAAATTCTAATATCTATACATATGGTAATAATCCAATACTAAAGTCATAAGTTGAAGTCAAGAGATTAACACATTACGTGACTATATGAAGGACCACAAACTATATGATGAGAAGATTCAATCACCTGAATTGAGTAACATGGCTCGTCGAGATTTTAGCTTAAAAATATGTTGTCGAATTTATGTTTGCTCTAGCTGTGAAAAAAGATGGTAAGGTTTGTGAGCTCGGTAACAAAGTCAACGGGCAATGAATTTGGAGTATTCATCTCCGTCGACAGTTATTCGATTGGGAAACTAAGTTTTGGCACAATTTTCTAAACCATTGAACAATTGCAGCAAGGACCACAACTTGCAGGGACTGCCTAAAGTGGGTAGGTGACTCATCTGGGATCTACTTGCCGAAGGCATTTTGTGAACTAATTTCCAATGCAGGTGTCAACCCCGATAGACTGTGGAAGCTGGTGTGGGCGAGTCTTGCCCCTCATAAAGTGGAAGCGTTTGTAACTTTGTGAGGAGAGTTATCCAAGCTCGCATCCCTATAAGATATGAACTGTTGAAGCGAGGTGTCGGTGTACAAAGCTCGGGTTGCTGCGTTTTGTGCAATAAATTCTTTGAAATTGCAAATTATCTGTTCTGTCATTGTGAAGTTACTTGGAAAATTTGTCAAGAATAATGTAGACCTTGGAACGTTAGGCTGGTGGTCCCTAAGTCTTTGAAAAACCTTCTAACCATTTAAAATCACTTCCCGATCAAATCGTCCCTCAAAATCATTATGGCAGTCGGCATTTCTTGGCATTGTATGTAGTCGAAAAAAATGATTATTGATAAAAGATAATTATATACTTTGAATATTTCAAATTAAAATATATTATTATATATTTAAATTTGAATATTAAAAGATATTTAGTTGGAGTAAATCTATCCATCCCTGTAAATAGAGAGTTTCCAAATTTTACATAACTCAGAATTCAAGAACTTCATAAATCTTCAAAAAATTCATTTTCCGGTGATAAACAAAGTGTGCTACTGTTCGAAGATCATCTAGTTGTCGTATCATTGGACACAGACGACCAAAAGATCTTGAGCACCAAAGGAGTTATCGAAAATCTGTCTTAAATAAATTGTGTAACGACATGTCTCAACTATTTCCGATCGATTGATCAATAAAAAAGAGTATATTTTCTTTCTATATTGTTTTATTTATTATTTAATAAATTTAACTTCAGTTGATCAAGAAGCTGCATTTCATAACTGAGGCAAAAATTTTAACAGAATTACCTAGTTAAAACTTTCAAAACTGCATCTATAAATCTAGTATGAATGTACCATTTGAAGTACAATATAACAATTCTATGAAGTATGAATCATCTCCTTTCTCAATATACATGCATTTTTTTAAGCTCCGAAAAATCCAAAGTAAACACCCCGAAAATAAAGAACCATTCTACTTAACTTTCTACCTAACACATGCCTTCGGTATTTCAACTTAGACCCAAAACAGCGAATCTACATCAATGTCACGCTCACAAAGACTTAATAAACGTTTTTTTTTTTAAAAAAGAAAAAGAATGATAGGAGAAAACTTACGAGATGATTAACAATATGCGAGCCCGATGTATTCCCTCTTGAATTACAAAACCACTTCTACACGAAGGAACGTTACAGCGAACCACGCAAGCCGGGTTCGAAACCCCACAATACCGACAAGCATGCTCGGCGAAATTCCCTTTTCCGTAGTCATACCCGCCATCCTCATCCCAGCCATCTCCTCAAAATTCAATCCACTTATCCCCGTCGCCAACGCATCCACCGCGGCCGCACTATTGCTATGGCTGTTGTTATTGCTCGTTGAGGCACGGCCAACGTCTTTGAAGCACTAGAGGGGGAGGAGGAAGCGGCAGTGTCCGAGTGGGGTCGAGCCAGATCGTTCGGCAGAGTGTGCGTCAATGGTGTTGGCCATGAACAATCGGGTCGCGGAAGTCCGTGTACTCGAAATCGGACTCACCTTGGGTGTTGAATTCGAGAAAGGTGTAAGCGTCGGTGGCCGGGTCAGGCTGAGAGGCCGTCTCGAATTGAGAATTCATGGAAGAAATTTTTCAATGCCGAAGCGTTATCGTGAAGATTAAGATTAGGGTTTTTGATGTTGTTTCTGAGTTATGGTTAAAATAGCGAAATTGAACTGAAAGATGGAAAGAGGTTAAACCTTATATATATTAATTAAAAATTAAAATTATCACTCCATATATATTTTTTGCAAACGTATTTGTCAAACTATATATGTGATCACTTTTGTTTTATTTTATTTTGATTTTTACCATTTAATTCGATCGATAACATAATAAACATTTCTAGTTATAAATGTACTTTCCTTGATTAACTTCTAATGTCATTTTCCTTTTATATTTGACTATAAATTTATGATGTCTGACAATTTGAGGCGTATCTTTGAGGACTGGAGGAGAGACATGCCTCCTCGGTCAATGATTGAGGGGGCAAATTTATCCTAAATATTGAGGATTAGCTTAATTGAAAATCAGATTATAAATAAACAAAAATAACTTTAAACATTATCACAATTAAAATAACTTTAAACATTATCACAATTAAAATAACTTAAAACTAATTAGTATCCGAAGATAAAAAATCTAACCAGAAGAACACAGAGTTAATAAATGAAAATTTTGTCTCCTTTTTAAAAAAGTTTCAGATTTCATTAGGATTAACATACATATTTGAATTACAATATTAAGAGCAAAATAAAAGCAACCAGTGGTGGGGTGTTCATATGGGAGGGAAGGTTCCGGTGGCTCTGGCTTCATCCCACCTTTCAATCTATAAAAAAAGAAATAAAAGGACAATTATGCTTAGCATCCTCAATTAATGCAAATTTAACGAATTAAGAAAACCAAGGAAATCTCTTTACTTACCCATTCATCGGGACATAGGGACCGGAAATGCCTTGCAAACTTGTCACATTGGGGGGCATCCTTGCCTTTTTCTTTAATGCACCTTTTTAGTTATATGGAATCAACAAACTTTTCGTTAAAATTTATAAATAAACTAAATTAAGGTTTTATTTAAATTATGTAAAAAAAAAACTCACTTATGATATTCAACAAATGACTCATAACAGTGGCGACCCTCTGATTCTATATCCATCTCTCCCTCCAACTGTAGATTCAGACATACGAAAAAATTCTGTTATTTTTTTAATCGACTATTGACTGCGTTCTAATATCCCAATAATATACAAAAGGAGAAAGGAGGCATAAATTGTATCACCAGGCCATTCTTTGTTTACCAACAAATTGATTTTCATAAAACAAGAGAAAAGAGAGAACCTTGGGGGACATGTGTTTGTGAGGAGAAGGTGTGGAAGTGGATTGAGGACTTGGAGGTGGGGAAACGGTTCCATATTGATGGGCGGGTCTGGGAGCTTGTTCACCTTTGGCCACACGGTTCACGGCTCTTGCCCTCATCTTATTGTGGGGATCCACATCGGCACCCGTACTCGACATGGCTTCTATTCACTTTTTTTGTGTGTTTGAAGAATGGGGGTAGATAAATGATTGGATGGGACACCTGTGGAAGTGGACACTTGTGCTGTCGGTGGGGTACTTATGTGTCTTTGTCTTTGCGCTTGTTGCCTGCTACCGCTCGCGCCCATAACCAAGCATACTATAATTTATGTTTTTTTAATGATAGATTTATTCGAATTCGATGAGTTATTATTTAATTAAAAATTTATTTTAAAAGTTTAGTTTTAGATTAGATTGGGTTAATATTTCGAAGTGTAATCCGATCAAGTTTAATTTAACGTAACCTAATTTAATCTTACATAATATTATAATTATTTTTATATATTAAATGATAATTATGATAATTTCCTTTTATTTTATTTTTTATAATTAAAAAATCCAATAAAAACAAATTATATATATATTTAGGTAACGTCAAATGTAAATTTTAATTTAAAATATTAAATTACATTTGGATAGAATAAAACTCTCTAAAATTTAAGTTAAATGTGAATAAATAACTTTAATTTTTCAGATTAAATTTGAGTGGGTAAAAAATTCAATCCGATTTGACAGTCAGTGATTGAGATTAATTTGAACATGTGGGAATGGGTCTAAATGGCACAAAGTTGGAGGGCTCCAGAACCATGAGGATAAACTCACAAATCTTGCGCACTCGCAAGTCTGTATAGGAATCCATTCGGACTATTGGATAATGGCCCACTGTTGAGAAAACCTTAGGCTTAGTCCATAGGGATATTTAGCATTGTAGTCTTCCCAATGTCACATATTTATAGTAGAACAATAAAGTAATCTAATGGTCATCATACATAACTTCTAGACAAATTCATCATACATGAATGTACCTAAAAGATACAATTTTAATTAATATTCCCCATTGTCAATTAGTATCTTCTAATTTCAATTGATGTTATAATTAAAACAATTTAGAAGATATTTATTCTAAAAATATTTTTTAGAATTATTATTTATAAATATTAGAAAAATAATAAAATAAAAGTTTACTTATAATTGACGGGTCCAATAAAATATTATCTATTAATTTAATATATCATGAGATATTCTTAACAACGCTTAAAAGACATCTAACGACACAATGTTCATTTTTAACAAAATCTAAATTTTAATATTTATTTTATAATGTTTGAAAGTTCAATCCTGAAAAGAATTTTTTTAAATAGTTTAATGATTATTTATGAACTTTATCTTATTATAAAAATTAAATTACATCAAATTAAAGGCCTAATTAAAAAATATGTGCTTAAATTACACTTTTTATTCATTTTAGGTACTTAAAGTTTTTGTTTTTTTGTCAAAACAGGTCTTTAAAGTTTTCAACATTATCATTTTAAGTGCCTAGTTCATCCCTATCTTAAAAAAATTCATCAACCACTCAAAATGTGACATATGTCGTGATTATAAATTTCTAAAGATTCTTGATTTCACCAAAATAAATTTCCACAGTTACTAAAATACGATTTTTCTAAATGCCATTGAGTATGTGTCATGCAATTCATGACTCAAGATTCTTGATTGAAGCTTTACAAATATTTTTGTGGACTAATTATTTGAACTAACAAATCTTTTTCTTGAATTTAATTTGAACAAATGCAAGTCCTTTTTAGAGTTTAAAATACAATTTATTAATGTAAGGTTAAAAAGTAAAAGAAATCAGTTTGTAATCGAAAATGTTATTAAGAGCGAACATTTTAAGTTGGACAAGGTAATAATTTTTGTTAAACCAAAAATTTTATAAATTTGTATAATTTTTTCAGTTGTAAACCTTAAAACCACCGCAATGTAACATTTTCAATTGTAACCGAAAATGTTATAAATTTATATAACTTTTTAGATTGAATATGATAACATTTTAAGTTGAAACCGTCTTAAATTAGACTGCCACACAACAGAACTATCCCAAGCTTCTTCAAATTGTAATCAACAAATATTGAAAGTGACAAAACATTTTCAGCTTGCAAGGAAATGAAAATTGACGAATGTGTTTGGTACAAAGTTGTCACATTTAATGTCTTTCTTAGACATCCATGGCAGGTGATGTTTTTGGGTCTACATATAAGAGCGCTACAGCACGATGGGTGTGCAAGAGTTAAAGAATTGAATGATTCAGTTGGAGGGATACCAAACTGTGGGGATCATCAATTCATGTCAACTTTTCAAAGTGATCCAAAAAGTTGAAAGTATATCTTCATGTTACACAAGAAAATTTTGAGAGATATACTTCCGTTGATTCATGTGTCTCAAATTTCAGCATTTAAATATCTTGTTTTACCACTAAATTAAAACAAAAAATTCATGAAATATCATAATCTTTTTATACAGAGAGGGATGCATAACTTTATGTTATAGGGAAAACATATAAAATTTTAGACGATGAAAATACATTATTAATAGAAAATATGAAAAAATTATTTGAGAATTTAAAATTTTCAAATAATGATCCTTTGGTCCATATGCTCCTCTACCCTCAAATCCGTTGTATCTGTTTAATGGATGATAAAAACAATAAGAAAAATGGAGAAATGAAAAAGTAAGTATGGGTATTTTATGGGAGAAAGATAAATCCAATGAATCAAATGGCAGAAAAAGTGAGTGCGGCACTTCCAGTGTAGTTTTCAAAGTGCAATATGCTTCATCTTGATTGATAGCTTTCTACATACTACAGCACCATACTGAGTCGTGGGAAAATAAAACAAATGTCTGCCTGCGCTGCTTTGCAGACCACATGCATGTTCTTTTCTACAAGGAAAAACTTAGAATATTAAAAAATGGTATCACTAAAGAAATGTTACCTATAGCTTCATTTATACGACACAAACTGCGAGATTGTCTTTGTTATACCGAGAGATGATTTCCGAAAACTGTTAATAGTTCTAGTTAAGTTTTTTTGGATATATCTCTCCGTTTATTAGAGCTTCTAAAGAGTATCCTTTGATCGTTAGAATATCAGTCTTTTAAACTAACTATAGTGTATAGACAGGACCTTTGATAGATACATATAATCTACTGAAGCGAAATCCAAATTTAACTATCAGATCTATTTTGACTACTGACCTACGAGTAATCATAATGACCCTAAACCTAACACAATTAGATAAAGTGACTGTAAATACCCCAACCGTTATTGAAAAGGAGATCACGGCCTCCACAATTTTCACATATATTCTTATCTTCTCCTTATGACCAATTCTCTATTATAAAATTAACTAACGATCGCCTTCTCATCGACCACGATTTTCCATCTAAATTAAAATAAATGAACCACCAACCATTAATAGTATTAAAATCTTTATGAACACAAAGGTTAATTAAAAACCATGTTACTTCCACGAAAGTTGAGGCTAACAAGGGTCGGTCCCTAAGCCTAAATGGTTTCCATGTCACGGCTGATGCGGTTCAATGGATTTCTTTTCACACCGGTCTTCGTCAGCGTGCTGTGCATGTGTCATTTCTTCGACCCCTCTTGAAGAAAAATCCTCTGAGTTCAGCAGACTCCCTCTTAATTTCTGGGGTTACACCACCTGATTGGATGCTGGTTCAGTTTTGGATGAATTAACACAACACAACCCTTATGCATCAAAATCAAGCTCAAGAAAAAGTAATGTTTAAAATGAACTTAGGGGTGATCAACAACATCTAATGATCTCATTAATATATAAATTAAAGGCTTCTACGTATGTTTCTATGTTAAAGAACATCATACATGTATAAATCTAATTCTTTCTTCAGACTAACTCTTCCGTAGTTTTAGCAACCAACTGAACTACATTATTCGGACACAACAGTTTATAGCTCCGTACTTTGTCGAGTGTCAAGACTATCCAATCCAGATTCCGACAATGGGATATCGGTCACTAAAAATCGACGATCACGACGGTAAGTGAGACATGTATGAGACATCTAGAGTATTGTGATTTCTGATCCTAGATAGTCGTCTAAGATGAAACATACTTCTCAATCGAAAGAACCCAAAACAGCAGGACAGAAATCCCTTGTATTGAATCGTAATGTAGACAAAGAGGGATGGAGGGAGGTGTGACAGAAAGGGGCAGCTGTGGAAGAGCTATAGCCAAGTTGGGTAATTTGAAAGTGTGTTTTAGATTTATGGGTTGGTAACTTTTTTTCATTAGAAGTTGTAATGAATCGTAATGTATTACACTTGAATTCTTACATGTATGACACTCGTGTTGGGTTGAAAATGAGACGAGCCGAGTTTAAGTACTGTCAAATTCGATTCAAAAAGTTTAAAATTGAGCTCGACTAGAAGGTTTGCAAATTTAAAATTATCAAGCTCGACTCGAAATAAAAAATTGAAGTTTAACTTAAACTCAAAACATTCTGAAACCTAACACCATTAAAGCTCGAGTTCAAATATTTACTTTGTGTATATAAAAATCTTATATTGCATTTTTAAAAACATATAAATGTTAAAACTATTAATAATTTAATTTAAAAAATTAAAATTTTAATATATTATTTTTTCAAATTACTCACAGCTTTTTGAATCGGATAATGAGTAACTCGCGTCAACTTCTTAAGAACTCGAGTCGAGTTCATTTAAATCGAGTGTTGACCGAACTTTGATCAAATCAAACTCGAGCAACTATCTATCTCATCTCATTTATAGTCTTACCCGTGTCATGATTCCAGTTAACTTAGTCGACAAATATAGAAATTACAAGTCCTACAATCCTGGCCAATTGGAACATCCAGAAAAACTGACCCGGGATTGTTTAGTGGAAAGCCACCAAACTCAATTTAATTTCCTTGTAGAAGCAGATAAACGATTGCTAAATAAATCTCATTCAAAGTATTCATTCTTTCAACTTTCAGCCCCCCACCTCTGACAATGACCTGTCTTGTTCGAATAGCTTGCATCTGCAAACTAGAGATTGTCCTATATAGTATAACATTTCTTCTGAGGTCAAAGATGATATCAGTAAGATTGCAAACAATAAAAAGAAAATCATCCTAAACAATGGTTAAGGGAAACTTTAATTAATTTAATAACTGGCAAACCTTGGGTTTGATATACTAATAGTATCTTCATGGACGAACAGATGATTATATGCCATGAGGGTGCACTTATAATATTCTAAGGACGAAAATATGTTATCAATAAAAAATACAAAGAAAATACTTAAATTAGCTGAGAATTTGAAATTTTCAAGTGGAGAACGACTGCCACCGCCAGCCTCCCTTGATTCATCCCTAAGTATCTTTCACACTATAATATAGTATAGTTGCATGGCTGTTGTCAAAATACTGGTAAGATATTTCAATAAGGGAAGGAAAGTGAATTATAGAATAGAAAAGTCAAGACGGATGTTTCCACATGATTCCCTAAAACGTAATTCCAAGTCTAAAATGATAGCTGGGAAAGACGGTGTTCCTACAGAATTCCACTCAGTAATATTTGCATAATGTCAAAGTTGGCAAAGTTTACCAAATTAAGATATTGTGGCTGCTTGCTTCACTATAAATTCCAGCTGCAGACCCCGTTATTCCATGCACTACCACTTTATATCCTTTGCTTTCTTTGTATTCTTTGCTCAATAAATCATCTATGGCTCTCTCTCTTCAATCCCTTTTGATACTTTTCACAACTTTGCTTCTCAAACAAATTCTGGTGGACGCAGCAACATGCAGCAACTGTTTCACCCGTTCACGAGCTGCGCACTACCCAAACTCTGATGAACAGGGAACAGATGGTAAGATATAGAGAGAATGCATACACCTTGTATTGTGCATAACGCTAACATAAGATGCTCACTAATTTTCTTAACCAAATGCAGTTGGTGCATGCGGGTTTGGTTCTTTTGGAGCAACAATAAATGGCGGAGATGTATCGGCAGCATCTGACCTCTACCGCAATGGTGTTGGCTGCGGTGCTTGTTATCAGGTATTAAAGACAAATGTGCCCGTGCATGTGTCCTTAAGTTTTTTTAGTATGATACTCAAATAAAACCAAACATGCTATTGAATGATGCAAACGGCAATTTCAATTTACATTGAACCAATTCTTACGTTGCAAGGTAAGGTGCACCAACAGCAACTATTGTTCAGACAAAGGTGTGACAGTTGTTGTAACTGATCAAGGTTCAGGTCACAACACTGATTTCGTCCTGAGCCAACGAGCCTTTGGTAGGATGGCTCAGACAACAGATGCAGCTGCATCTCTATTAGCCCTTGGAGTGGTCGACATTGAATATAGGCGGTAAGATTCCTCTATAATGAGACGAATCAGAGTTAGAAGCAACTTCAAGAAGAAGAACAAAGTTCTTCATTATTTCTGTTGTTCTTGTCCAAAAGAAAGTACACTTTATATTGATAGGACAAAATCATGGATCTCTTATCTCATTCCTCTCTTTGTACAGCGTTTCATGCAGCTATCCAAATAAGAATATTACAATCAAGATTGATGAGAGTAGCGACTACCCTCATTATTTGGCATTTGTTCTATGGTATCAACAAGGTGACAAGGATATCACAGCTGTTCAGCTATGTGAGGTATTATGTGCTTTCTAAACCTCATTTTCTGTATCAGCTGGTATGACCAATTATGGAGTTGCAAATGGAAGGTAGATTTGATGTCCGAATCTACAACAACTATTACAATAGTTAACTAAGGGGAAATTTATCTCTAATATGTGCAGACTCAAAACTTTGTGTGCAAGCTATTGGATAGGAGTCATGGAGCAGTATGGACAACCACTTCACCACCAAGTGGTCCATTGTCTTTGAGAATGTTACTGAGCGGAGAGGATGGAGATGAGTCATGGATTGTTCCTATTAATAACATACCAGAAAATTGGAAAGGTGGAGAGACATATGACACAGGAGTTCAAATTAGTGTCTAGGAATATGCACTAGGGTCTTTCAGTTCTTTGTTTAGCAATACAGGTAAAAGAATAAATTCACAGGCTTTCCTGGAATGTGTAGTTTCATCATGCTTTATAGGTTAGCATATAATTTATTATTTTGTCAAAGAAAGGGATGACAAACTTTAGTAAGATAAATTCTTATGTAATGTATTTTTTACTAATGAAATTTTATGTTTCTTAATAAAAAATAAAATTTCTCAAATAAGTCATCATAGAAAACAGCACTATCCATATAGTCAAGGAAAAGACCTTGACTTGCACTATAAACATATTTTTTCCAGTTTTACAAATATTCATCCATTTCCACTTGTGCACAGTTTCCTGATTTTATCCACAAGTATGTTATCTATTAGTTTACAGTACGAAACAAATTTCATAATGGTCATGACAGTTTAACATACCCTATTTGCTCAGGCAGGAAATGCTGCAGCAATTCTTAAATCCCAAATAATAATTAACAAAGATGACCTGGTATCCTTATGCATAATGCTACTTCTATTAGTTCCAAATAGCTAAGGAATGATTAAACCTATTAAATCAACAATAATACACTGTCTACTGCCTTATCTTTCTGGTGTTTAGAAGCACAAAATAATCAGCTCGTAATAGATAAACATCCTTAGTGAAACGACTTAGTACTGCTAAAATATCTGAACGCTAACACCATTGATCTTCAATATTCATGAAAATAAAGCAAGGTCAATATTAAGATAAGAAAAAAAAAAGAATGAAGGGTTTAGTGAAGTTAATAAAGAATCGAACACTGCAAGGAACATAGGAAAAACAATTGATGGAGGTGGTCAGATTGATCATTAGGCTGAGCAGAGACAGATTCTGTTCTTCCAGCCTTGTTAAAATATTGCTTTCTTTTGATAAATAAATAAAAATTTTACTTAATCCAAAAAAAATGTTATAGTTGCAAATAATATCAAAGATGGCATGATTTGGTGAATTTCTTTGCTTGAAGCAAGTTGAGAAAGATGGGAAGTTCTCCAACTAGAATATGAAATATATCGCATAGCTAAACCAACTTCCTATATCTCAGTGATAAGAGCAAAAAGAAGAATAAAAATGAAAAACAAATGTGTACTGAAATTTGAAGTGGATCAACACCTCTTCTGCTTTATGTTCCCATCGCCTTCTCCTACTAAACAGCAATTCTATATTCTAAGCCCATTCAGATGTGATATTTATAAATAGAGGTCACTGCCCTAACCGTGCCATTTTCGAGAGATGTTTTCCATGGAATTTTATTCTGACTTTCATGTACATGTTTTTCCTGCTAGTTCACTGTCCCAAAATCTCAAACCCCTATAGGATCTCTGCAAGACAGTTTCAGCCGAACACCCAACTCCATCAACATAGAGTATATGATGGTTCTCCGATGTGGTAAATCATGTCTTTCTGAAAATTCCCTATCGCTGATAAACTTTCTAATATTTTCAACTTCACCCCACTTCCTTTCCAGAGAATATATGTAAGATAATAACACATACGGCCCAACATCCATCTGTTCCAGGTCAATTAGTTGTTTGGCTATATTCTTTCCAAGCTCTAAATTAGAGAGGGTCCTACATGCAGAAAGTAGAGATCTCTACAGGGCAGGTCCTGACTCCACTGACATCTTACTCATAAGTCCGTTTGACTGTTCCATAAAACCAACCCGGCTAAGTAGATCATACATGCAACCAACATGCTCCACCTTGGGTTTGATCTGGTAAACTCTGCACATTAAATCAAAACATCACCAACCCTCTAAAACCTTTCCCGAATACTTACATGCAGATAAACAACTGGTAAAGGTAACAGCATTTGGCGTTTGACCTCTCTTTTCCATATCAAAAACATCTCTTGCCAAATCCATAGCCCCACATTTTGCATACATTGTCAAGAGAGCAGTAGAAAGCAATACATCACATTTGATCTTGTTATTCTCAATAAAAGAATGAACCCACAAGCCCTTATCAAGCCTCCCCAAAGTTGCACATGCTGTCAATACACTAACAAGAGAAGCATTGTTCGGCCTAACCTCCCCTGTTTCCATGATCCTGTCAAACAACATTAGAGCCTGGTTGACATACTTCTTACATCTAACGTATAAAGCCAAAATGATGTTCCAAGAAACAATATTCCTTTCAGACATCCGATCAAAAAGATTACGAGCCTCCGAAACATTTTCAATCCTTTCATACCCATCAATCATAGAATTCCAAGAAATAGCATCTCTTCCTGGCATTTTTTCAAACAACTCTCTCGCCACCTCCATTTTCCCAACACCGACGTACCCTGCAATGATTATATTCCAACTAAAAGTATCCCTCTCAGACATCTCATTGAACAGCTCCCGCGCAATACCAACCTGCCCATTCTTCACATAGCCATCTATCATCGAATTCCAACTAACTAAATCCAACACAACCCCATCATCGAACACCTCACGGGCACTCCCTATCTGCCCACAAACTGAATACAAGCGAATCAAAGAGTTCTTAACAAACAAATCAGACTGGGACCCAAGTTTCAAAACCCGGGTATGAACCTTTCCACCTTCTTGCAAAGACTTAATCTCGGCACAAATTTTCCCTAACAACGGAAAAGTATACTCGTTATGCTTAACAAATTTACCCACCATTTTTTCATAGTAAAAAATCAAAGCACTAAATGGATCCAAACTCAAAAGACCATTCAATATGACATTACAAAGAAACGTATCAGGTTCTCTGATACAATCAAATACCAAAAGGGCATGTGAAACAGTGTAAATAGTTGCAGAGCTTCCTAACCACCCGGCTCGTCACGGGAAGCTGTTTGCGCAGGCCGGAGACGAGGAGTTGAGCGTGTATTTGGTTGAACTGATTGAAGCTGGTGCAAGATTCAAACGTTTGTAAAATGGGTGGTGGGTGTTGGTGGATGTTTCCCGAGGCTGGAATTCGAAGTTGTGGGTCGTTGGGCCATAGCTTTGGTGAGGGTTTAGAGAGGTTTTTCTGGGATTTTAGGAATTTGTCGACGGTAAGCGAGGTTAGGCGTGCTGGAGCTTGTTTGGACAAGTTGAAACTTGAAACTGTCATTTCTTTTGCTGGTTTCCGTTGTAAAATGGGGAAATCAGTAATATCATTATAGTTAAGGAAGTTTTTTACTCGATTATTGTTCAACTATCGAATGCCGGTATGTGAAGTCCGGTGGAACTTCATTGATCGCAAAGGGCGAAGAGCGGCCTAGGTTTAGAGTTTGAAATAAATATTTTTAAACTTTTGGGACTATTTCAAAATTGTGTACCTATTTTAGAATATAATTTTAATTTTTTATTTTAAATAAAATTTTTAAAATTATCAAAATATGACATGTGTCACTTAACGAAGAAAATTAACAACATTTACCTGTTGGAAAATAACTGAGTACGAGTAATTTCCCTCTAACCAGATTAGTGAGAATGCGAAATAAAAGTGAAAAAATAATACACGAAATTGATAACGGAGTTCAACCAATTTTGTTTACGTCTTCGGACTGCTGCAGATCTTTCACTAAAGATAGAAAATTTACAGGTGTTTACAAAACACTCACAGCTCACAAGAAAACTCTCTAAACTCTTTAATAGTGAGAGAAAAAAATGATTTGAGATGATTTTGAAGCTAAATGTGTTAGGGTATTTATAGTTGAAGCTTAAGGACTAATCTTATAAATATCCTAAAGTGTAATGACTAAATGTAATTATGTCATTTACCATTTTTTCAACAAAAATAAATACAACGTTCGATGTCCCCATTTTTGTCCCCCCTTTTGACCCATTCTATTCGGTGCATTTAAAGCATCGAAAGAACTCTGACTTTTAACAATCTCCCACTTGAAGACTGATTTTAATTTGTCTTTACACTTCGATCAATGTAACAGTATTTCTGGTCTTGTTACTCTAGCATGCCAACTGAAGCTTAACACAACTTCAATTTGTCCGTAGTCACCGTCTTTGTTAACATGTCTGCAGGATTTTGAGCTCCACGATTTGAATTTCTTTATGAAGTTCTCCCTCTAGACTCCGTGTGCAAGGATGAGGGCTTGATGCTTCACCCGATTCTCTCTGTCGAATTTCTTTCACTCAATATCAGATCCCGAACATTGTCGAATTTTAATTTGTTATTTCTCGACAAACTATTGACTGCTGTAACAGTAGCATTCCAACTGTATGGTAGAGATGATAAGAGAATTAAAACTCGAACTTCATCATCAAATTCAATTTCCACGAAACTCAACTGGGTTGTGATTATGTTGAGTTCATTTAGGTGTTGAGCCACCAATGCACATTCCGTCATCCGCAAATTGAATAATCGGCTCATCAAGTGAACTTTGTTTGAGGCCGATGACTTCTCATACATACCAGAGAGAGCCGCCATAAGACCCGCCGTGGTCTTTTCCTTTGCTATGTTGAAAGCAACATTGCGGGATAACGTCAGTCGGATAACTCTGAGGGCTTGTCTGTTGAAAGAGCTCAGTCTTCATTCTTCATGCCCTCTGGTTTCTTTATTGAGAGAGGTTGATATAGATTTTTCTGGTACAGAAAATCTTCAATCTGCATCTTCCAAAAGCCAAAGTTCGCACCATCGAACTTTTCAATTTTTATCTTCCCTTCGTCTGCAGCCATCGCTCCCACTCGAATCTGGTTTGTTTGGATCGTTTCTGACAATTATTGCGAACCACAGTGTATTAGAACACCTCCGTCGACAAATTTGTATCGTTGACAAAATTTTACTATTCACAAAATTTATTATTCACGTAAATAGTAATGAATAGTAACATCGCAAAAAATTGACAAAATTCACAACCAAAAGCTCTGGTTACCAGTTGTTGGGAAATAAAACGAGTACGAGTAATTTCCCTATAACCATATTAGTGAGAATGCGAAATAAAAGTGGAAAAATAATACCCGAAATTGATAACGGAGTTCAACCAATTTTGTTTACGTCTCCGGACTGCTGTAGATCTTTCACTAAAGAGAAAAATTTACAGGTGTTTACAAAACACTCACAACTCACAAGAAAACTATCTAAACTCTTTAGTAGTGAGAGAAAAAAATGATTTGTGATAATTTTGAAACTAAATGAGTTAGGATATTTATAGTTGAAGCTTAAGGATTAATCTTATAAATATCCTAAAGTGCAATGACTAAATGCAATTATGTCATTTATCATTTTTTCAACAAAAATAAATGTACCGCTCGGTGCCCCTATTTTTTCCCCTTTTTGACTCATTCTATTCGGTGCATTTAAAGCACCGAAAGAATTATGACTTTTAACATTTACTGCTCTAACACCTAAGGTGATAACGTTTGTAACATTAGACACAATAATCATTCAAAAAAGACTGTAGACATTTATTCATAAATCGCACGACAATTTGAATACTTAATTTTTAATTAATCCTAATCTAAATATTATATCAAAATAAAACTATATATATATAAGCACGAAATCTTTTACCCCAAGGACTAAAACTAATTTGGGTATTTTAAAATTCCATAAACGCCAAAGGTCATTCTCGTACTTCCACTGAGTTTTCCCAATTCCATCCTCTAAATGCCTTCACTTTACTTTCTTCAAAATCCCTAGAAGTACCTTTGGAAATATCGCCCAATTAACCATGGGTCTTTTCTCTTGGTTCACTAGCGACTCCAAACCACAAACCGTAACCGTACCAAAGCCAAACGAGACCCCAAAACCCGTCCCAGGAATGAACGGAGCCGTTGAAGTGCCCCGTCCGGAGAGTGTTACGGTGTTCGAATTCGGATCCGTAGCTGCTACTGCAGATAAGGTTACTTTAGCCGGATTCTGCCCTGTGTCTGACGATCTCGAACCTTGTCGCTGGGAAATTCTGCCTGCGAATGGATCCGATGCTCCTCAGTTTCGCGTCGTCTTTTGATAATTGAATAATGAAAAATCGAGTGTAAGTCGGTAGAAAATTTGATTATTTGGAGGTTGAATGACTTTTTTTTTAGTTCTTGTACTTTAACTTAATGGAAACCTCGTTATTCTTATGAATTTTGATTGTGTTATTTATTTATCAGAATTTAAGATAAAAAGAAGAGAAATTTAGAGGAAAGAGTACCCAAATTGTCATGACAGCATGAAATAGAATTTAAAATTATAGATTAGGTTGGTAAGGTTTGGATCTATTAAGTTCAATTCCACTTCGTTAGCATATGGACATTCTTAAAGTAGATTTTGGTCCAAATGCCAGATTGTTTGTGATCAGAAATTTGGCAACTCAAACTATATTTCTTATATTGCTCTCATCAAAAGAAGTAGCCGATAGACTCGGCAAAGACCCTTCTACAGATTACTTATCCGTTTATGACTATTTACATAGTGTTCTCGTAGAGATCTTTACGCCCCTGGCCGAATAGACCCTTCATGGTGCAATGGTTTATGCCTCCACATTAAAAAAATAAAATTTGTATTTCGTTTAGTATTTAATATAAAAGTAATTACTTACATCCCTTTCCATCAACTCTCAAATGCTCTTCCCTGTTTTACTCAATAAGGATAGCCTTACATTTTGGTATAGAGTTTCTCTCCTATGGTAAAATTTGGGGTTAAGCATTCAAATGAGGGAGAGATCATAGTTTATATAATTTTATATTAAGCTTAGATTTGTTTTTATAGTTAATTATTGGCTTTTAGGGTATATTTTTCTCTGCCTTTTGGCATGTATTTTCTCTGCTTTTTAGCACGCCTCTGTCTATTGGCACGCCTCTGCTTTTTGGCACGTCTTTTCTCTTTTGTTCTCGATTCTATATCGCTTTCCATGGCTGATGTGGTGAATGAGTTGACGAATCTTTGCTATTAAGGAGGATGAAGCACTTGTTTTGGAAGAAGAAAATCATGCTTCTCCAATTTCTTTTGTCCATTGTTTTATGGGATCTTTCTTAACTGCTAGTGTAATGAATTTTGACTCCATGCGATTCACGCTAGCTAATGTTTGGCACCCTCTAGGAGGAGTTTCTATTTCAGATCTGGGAGATCGGCGCTACCTTTTTTGTTTATATCATTCAATAGATATTGATAGAGTTGAAAGCGGTGGCCCTTGGGTTTTCAACTTCCACCTATTGATTTTACACAGGTTGAAAGATAATGAAGACCCAATGATTGTTCTTTTGTATTTCTTAAATATGTGGGTTTTAGTGCATGATTTACTTATTGGCTTTATGTCTGAATCGGTAGCCTAACAGTTAGGTAACTTTGTTGGTCTTTTCCTTGAATATGATGCTAAGTTTTCCTCCATGGGATATAAGGATTATGCGACTTCGAGCCCGTTTTGATACTCTGTAATATCTCAAAATCGAGGTTAGTGACTAAAATTGAAGTTTTGAAAATTTGAAGTCTGATTTTGAAATATTTATTTTATTGTTCAGTAAATAACTTATGGAATAAGGGGTATAATGGTCATTTGATAAAGAAATATTTTTATTTTCCCTTATAAAAGAAGTAGACACGTGGAGAGGAGAATAAAAATTAGAAGACTCTGGAGATGCTTGGCTTTCTTCTTCCTTTCTTCCCGTAGCTCCATTGGTAAGGTAAGATTATGTCAAGTGATTGTTTCCTTTCAATTTGAAGTTGGGTTTAATTCTTGAGATGATAATTAAGCTTAAGGAAAGCTTAATTTGTCTTAAAACCATAAGATGAATGAGTTAAGAGAGATAAAAGATTTGAAGTTTTTAAATGAAATTTTGGAAAAGAGTTGATAAGTAGAATTTGAGGTTAAATTTGACTTGTCAAATGGTTAATTAAGAAGTTAGAGGTGATAGAATTGAATTAAGAACACATGAAAAATTTGATGAAATTATTTGATTCAAGAATTATGGTGAATTATGAGAGATGGTGAAGTGTTATAGTGTTATAAAAAGGTTTACATATGTATAGATAAGTTTTAAGGTACAAGGAGGGGTTAATAAGTGGAATTTGAGGGCAAAGTAGGACATTTTTTGTGCTCAAAATGGAATTTCTGGGTTGTGTGCATCGATGCATCTTCAATGTGTATCGATGCACTCTCAAATAAATAAACATCGAATGCAATTAGTGCATCGATGCATAAGGAGTGCATCGATCCACTCCCTTAAAATGAAAACAACGAATGTAATTTGTGTACCAATGCATGGATAGTGCATCGATGCACATGTTAAGGAATGCATCGATGCACTGTAGAATGTACCGATGCACTTCAAGGGGAAATAGAATTAGACCTTTCTTTTGGTCTAAGAAATGATAGATTAGAATCCATCAATTGGATACTGATATGTATCAATGTATGATTATGTAGATATCGAGCACGAACAAGTTCCGGGACGACTATCAGGTTAAAATTTGATCGAAAGAAATCATAAAATGGGATTGGAACTTAGTGAGGCCAAGGTGAGTGCACATTATTTAGTATAAGATGTTCAATAGAAAATAAGACTTGTGATAAGTCTATTTCCAATAGTAAAATGCATGAATTCATAGAAGTATGTGTTTGCTATGTTTTATATGTGTGCATGAGTATATGTGTTATTGATGTGAATATGGTAAGTAAAAAAGATTAATGGTGATAATAATAAGAATAATAAGGATAATGAAATAATATGTATATGTGAATATATGTATATGAGAAGACATAAGAGTAAGATATAAGCAATGTAACAAGAAGTGTGAAATGACAAAAAATTGATATAAGCTATGCAAAAGTGATTTACGTGATTATATGTATATTTGATCCAAGTTATGTGAATATATGAGAATATGTGCTATGTGATGTATATATGAACATATGTGAACAAGAAATGACATACGTATATGAACAAATGAGAAATGAGATAAGCCATATGAAATAATCTACGTGATTGCATGTAATATGTAATATATGCTATATGATATGAAATATATGTTTACACATACATGTGGTATGTGGCAGAAGAGAAAGAACAAGTGATATGAAATGTTATAAATGATAATGCCCATGTTATGTAATATGAGAGCTAGTGGTATAGTTGGCATGACAAGAGTCGAGGGTTTACCTATTTTCTACGGAACATATGAACAAAAGTACCTATGTCTTTTGGGACATATGGACAGAATTACCTATGTCTTTTGAGACATATGGACAGTATACCTATGTTCTAACAGTTTACCTAGGTTTTTCGAGACCTAAGGACAGTTGTCGATGTTCTTTATGACCTCTGGATAGGTCATTCGGGACAATTATACGAGCTGTGGTGACAACATAATAGTGCATAACCACAATGTACTCACATACTTTAAGTTCTCACATATGTACATGGGCTAATAAAGAGATAACAATAAATATATATATTACATGTAAAGTATATGATTTTGTAATATGAATTGCATTATATGATTATATGATGATGTGTGTATTGCTTGGTTAAATGAATCATATGTGACTTAAAAGAATAGACATACGAGTATATGATTATAAGACATAAATGATAAGAATATAGATAGTGGAATAAGGTTAGTAATGGAAATAATGTGAGATATATATATATGTGTATATCACATTGTATGTAATGTTCTATTGTTTTGGAATGACATCATGAGATAACGTGTTCCTGCATGTTTAAATAATTAGAGTTCTTTTATAAATGTAATGTCTCACTAAGTCATAGACTTAGCGTGTGATTGTTTCACACGTAGGTTACAGAAGCGAGAAGAAAAGCGAAGAAGAGCAAGACAGGTAAGCATCTCCCTTACAAAGTTTCAGATCAGAAAATAGATGATTTAAATGTATTTGGTTATTTTGAATATAGTTGACATGTACTAATTGATTGAGTCGAATATGCTCTGAATGGTTTGTAAAACAATTTGACATTATTAATTATTGTAAAGTAATTATTTTCTCAAATGAGGAAATTAAGATTTTAGTGGATTTGTAAAGAACAGAATTTTGAAAAGTCAATGTAACATCTCGGACTCGGATCCGGATCTGATACTAGTTAGGGGTGTTACATACTCGGTTACCACTCAAAAGACGTAAGAAGATTGCTTTGAGAATTGGTTCGCACGTATATGCTCGATTCCAGTATGAAAAGATCAGGATTTTCTGCTTTCACTGTGGTAAGTTAGGAAACGGTGAGAGTTTCTGTCCTTCTAGGCTTACAATTGATCTAAAGGACATTACCTTCAATTGGGATATTTCTCTACGAGCACCACTGCAACAGCCGGCGCCTAGCAGTATTTGGTTACGTGATGACATTAATGATAATCCCATAAATTCAGGCTCATTCCCTCTCTTGAATAAAGGGATTGACTTTGGTTCGAATCAAGGGATTGGAGCGACTTCTCAGGCCTTATTTTCCGGGGACAGATTGATTAGTGGCATAATTTGTGATGCTCCGATTAAGGATAGGTTAAAAGAAATTATTCCAGCTGCGTTAACTTATGACATGGATACTCTATGTAGAGATGGGCATGGGTCGGGTCGAGTTGGATTTTCGGTCAATCCGACTTGACCTGAAAATTATATATATTTCACTCGAACCCGATCCGAAAAATACACCCTCCACATAATCCGACTTGAAATAATATATTTATTAAAAATATTTTAATTCAATAAAAATAGAGATTTAATTGAAAAAAATAATATATAGAGGGTATTATTGCAATTATTCCTATATATAAAAGTAAAATCATATATTTTTCTCGGGTCAGATATTTTTTACCTTAAACTTGAATTCGACTCGACTCGAACATAACCCATAAAAAACCCGACCCAAACCTATTTTAAAAAATTTGACTCGATCAAATCGAAATTCGTCGGATTCGGATTCGGATGGTAACAAACGTCCAAGGAATTCTAATACAGCTTCAGTTGTTTCTATTTTTCAAGATTCGAATGATGGCTCAAGGGTTCTGTGGGCCCAAATCCTTCTCTATCGGCAGGCCTGAATGACAAGGCCAGCCGGTCGCAACGAAAATGATATGTTGGAACGTCTGGGTCAACCTCGGATAGTTCGTCGACTCCGGCACATGCTGAGAGTTTTAAACCCAGATGTTTTCTTTTTTATAGAAACTAAATTAAATGCAAGAAGAATGGAGAAAGTTCGTCAAAGTTTGGTTTTCCTAACGAGATTAGAGATTAGTTCAATCGGTAGAAGTGGTGGTTTGGCTTTGGGTTGGAAGAGTAAGTGTCCTATTTCCTTACGTTCCTAATCGAATAAACATGTTGATTTTCCTTTTAATGATAATTCAGATGGGTTTTCTTGGCGCTGTACTGGGTTCTACGGTGCTCCTGAGGAAGCTAACAGAATTGACTCATAGAATTTGTTACGTCAAATTAATGATTTTCCATGGATGGTGATGGGAGACTTCAATGAGATTCTCCTAGCCTCCGAGTGGTCGTATTCGAAGACAGAGACAGATGGATGGTTTTAGAACAATGCTTGAAGATTGTTGTCTTACCGACGTTGGCTATGAGGGTACTTGGTACACGTGGGAGAAGGGCCGTTTCTCAACGAACAAATCCGAGAACGATTAGACAGGGGTGTGGCTAATACTCCTTGGTGGAATCCCTTCCCAAATTTTAAGTTCACACACTTGACCCACACATTTTCTGACCATTACCCACTGTTTTCGTGATTGTCTTTATGCTAAGTCTATATGGCATCGCTTGAATTATTCTTGGCCAGCTGATACTGATAGTTTGGATTTCAAAGAATGACTGGCATGGATGTTTGCTAAGCATGCTAATAAAAAAGGATTTCAAATAGTTGTCACAGTTCGGGCACTATGGTATTCTCACAATAAGCTTCTTCATGAAGGATTGGTACAGAGTATTGAGGAATTACTTACTTTTATTAAGAGTTTCTGCTCGGAATTCAGCTTGGTAGCTTCCGGACTCTATAACCCGCCCCCTGGTGCTGTTAATCATTGGAAGCCCCCACCGCCTTCGGTGGTCAAGGTGAACATTGATGCGAGCTTTCAGCAGTCCGATAGTAAGTTATGTTCAGGAATTATCATTAGAGATGAAGGGGGTTTTATTCTTGGTGCTTGTGTTAGAATTAACTTCCGGGTTATTTCCCCTTTTGGCGCAGAAGCTTTGGCCGTTGTTCAGGGTCTTCTATTTGCAGTCGATCTTGGCTTCGCTTAAACTATTTTTCTTTTCCTATTTAGGTGTTTAAATTATTTAAGTGTTTAGGGGTTTATTCTTGGTGTTTTTCTTATTTAAATGTTTAAATTATTTTTCGGTTAATCTAGATGTTTAATGGAATAAATATTATCATTTTAAGTGTCTCGATCGTAATTTAAGTGACACTAATTGTATTATGATAATTTTAAAATTTATTCAGAAAATAAAAAAGTATATTATATTTTAAAAATATTTAAAAAAAATCACCCTCAACTCCACACATCCCCTCTCCCTCCCCCTCCATGAACTTCCAATTTGCAGCTCGTTGACTACTAGTCTTTGTAGTATTCCATTTTATTGACTGGATAAATTCCCATCAAAATTCTTGGATTTTATTGACTGGTATGACGATGCATTGCCTTCAAATTTAACGGGAGACTCGTGTTCATATCGCCAAACTATGATTATTACTGCTCTGATCAACATCATCAAATCGTCATGGATCTCTCATTATCCGAGACCTCAAGTTTCAAACACCAGTAACCCGAGTTTCGATTTCATCGTGTCAGTTTTGTCGACGCCTTCGTCAAATCCAACTCCATTGAATTCGAATTCGACACATCAATATTCAATGGTAGCAGCAATGAAGACGAAAGAGATAGCTATTGCAACAATCTTTGAAGTTTCAATTTCACAATATTTAAATAAAATGCTTGATGATAGCTTTTTCGGATCAAAAAATGCCAAACAAAATTTAGGGAAGGGAGGGGGAGGGGACTGAAGGGAGAGGGAGGGGGTGGCGGGAGATCTTTTTAAAATAAGTTTTTAATATAATAAATTTTTTTTATTTTTTATAAAATAAAATATTTAAATTTACCAGAATACGATACGTGTTGAGATTTTTTAATGGCTGTTACAATTAAGACAGAATGATAATATTTATAACGTTAAATCGTTAAACACTTGAATTGACAAAAAATTAATTTAGGAAAAAAATATAATTTTGACATTTATTTTTATGTTAAGCCTTTTGTTTACTTGCCAATTGAACCTGGACTTTCAAGAACTGTTTAAACGTAATATCCCTTATTACTTTAGAACGCATACCAGTAATTACTTCATTCCATCCCATCATTAATTCTGAAGCAAGTTCAATCTCCACATAAACGAGGTTCAAAGTTCCAACACAATAATACCACTTACTACATGGGGACAAAAAAGAAAGAAAGAAAATAACACACCCAATATCTACAGAAGCAATGGAAACGAGGCTCGTCAAAACAGGAAAGAAACATCCTTAACGCTTTGCGTGATCGTGTGTGGGAACTGAATTATCATGATTCAGAGGAATCTGTAATTATCATCGTCCTCGTTCATTTGAATACAACACATTATGGCTAGAACAAATATGAAATAAGATGAAACTTCCATTGCCAGTGCACCCCAGCTGATAATTCCAGCATGCTTCAGGATAGCCGGTATAGCAATGCTTCCAACTGCCGAAGCTCCGGTCAAGAACTTTGTTGCGTTGACCCAACTGTTAAATTAAGCATTATTAGGAAGAGGATCATGAGTATTCCAAATCTCAAGCTTGTACTGAAAATAATATCTATATGAAGAAGTTTAGGGCGAACAAAAAGGTTACCCGTTGTTGGATTCAGATAAAAGAGAAGCATCAGAGCCCGTAAAGAACAGCAAAGGCATTGGAAGAAGCACATACATTATTACTGCAACATAAACGAAGTATGTGAGGGTGCTTAAATGGAGTAATATGTATGAGCTTAACCAAATGAAGTTTCTTGCTTAATTACACAAACAGAGCTGTCAGAAACTCTAAAGCACCCGCTCACACAAGACATAAACATCATGCTCATTCATAAATATCACCTTTAAGGGCATTCACACGGCAAGCAAACAAAATTTTCGAAAGACGTAACAAATTGCAGACTATAGCCATACAACAAGAAATGAATTAACACAAGGATAATGGGGGATTATTCACTTCTGCACGCATCATGTATGTCCCTGTATGACAACTTCAGTTAATTATAAGATACATTACTTTGTAGATAACAAATTGCAGCGACAATTACCTCTAAGCACATTTACACAGCAACCACACACATTCTTCAAATAATGTAATAAACTGCAGGGTAAAGACACACTACAAGGGGGAATTAATCCAAAGAATCATGGGGGAGGTTCGTTTGCTGCATGCATAATGCATGTCTATAGATGAGAAGTTCAGTTGAACCCTAAGATACATTATAGTTGTTGGTTTGTTTGTTTTCTGAAAATGATCAGAACATACAGCAACAAGAGTAAGACTACAACTTAACGAAGAGAGCGAGAGGTAGCAAACAATTAAACTCCTCTTCCTAGCACTGACAGACTTGGCTAACAATTACAGTCGTCTTCTTGACATGCTAAACAAATCACACAAATAACAAATTGAATTATAAGCATCAATTTCTGAGGTAGATGAACGGGGGCACGAAACAATTGGTAATAGGCAACCATGGTAAGCTAAAAACTCAAACTCCTAAAATTGAAAAAAAAAAGAACTAACAGAATTTATTTGAGAAAAAGTAAATTATTAGTAACAGAAGAGTAAGATCATAAACTTGATGATCACTAACCAGTCAGCATTGGCCACCAATTATTGTAGAGAGCACATGCCTAACACATCACAAATAAAGAATTAGATCAAAAGAGTAGTAAGAAAACATTTTAGATGAAAAAATTGCAGAGGTAGATAATAAACAGAGAAAAGCATTACTGACCAAGATTTGCAATACAATTCCTCCTGAAACTAAAATTGCCAACAGTGCAAGTTTTCCAGTGTGCAAGCAGGTGCGTAGATAACCTGGTAATTCTGCCATCATCCAACTTGTCTCTCACCTCATAGAAAACACCTGAAATGAATGTTTTCTCAAGTTAGACAATTTTCATATAACACTAGTAAGTCATAACCTACCTGCAAATATATAATGGAAATCATATTTTACAGTTTAAATCAATTAGTTTAATAACAATTTTCTTGCAACACCCACGAAATTAATTGCAAATATCAGTTTCAGGCTTTTCTTCCCTAAATACTTCAGAACTTAAAGAAGATAATTTTCTCCTCTATTTTTTTTCTTCTTCTTTAAAGTGGATCTCACGTTAATTAGTTGCAAAGTCCCAGCCTTTATAATCTAATTCCCTTCGTTAAATTTCATTCAAACCCCAGAAAGGAAATTATGAATACATAAAATCTGAAATACCCGCAATAATAATTCTACCGCAGACACAACAAAAATCGAAGTTTACTAAATTTGATTTGTTTCTGTAACAGAGCAATGAAATTGAATTCACAGTACCCAAATGATGCAGATATAACGCTTTTTAAAAAAAATAATGGAATGAAATATTACCTGGAGAGATAAATCTACGGTTCGCAAAGTTGACAAAATCCTGGAAAATTAGGGTTTTAATAGAATTGGGTTTTTACAGAGTAACCATTAGGAACCTGCCAGAGAATTAGGTGTTCGTAAAGATGCAGCTGTAGAACAGAACAGAATAAGCAATTGTGTTGATAATTACAGTTTAATAAAGAAAATTAAAAAAATCAATAACAAATCATACTCATACGATAGTTGCTTTATTTTTCCTTCTTTTTTCCTTTAAAAACATTTTTTTCTTTTTATCACCATAAAAAATAACTAAAACTATAATACAAGTTATTTACTGGAAACACAGCGGAAACTAATTCCAATAAAAAAACGTGATAAACTTTTAATAATATTAACAAGGGTAAACTAAATGTTTAGTATCTAAATTATTTTTTTCGTTTAGATCTAAACTTTATTTTTTTAGAGAGCTTAATATAAAAATAAGTGGTTAAGGTATATTCAAAGCTTATTTTAGGTACCTAAAGTATTTTTCATTAAAAATAAGTGTTTAAACCCTAAATCATCAACTCCTTTGCTGACAAACTTCGTTGTTGTTGCTGTCACTGACGCTTTATTTATCGTTTTCGTCGAAGCTTCTTTATCCGATTTAAACGCATGTCGTTGAAATCTGCTCCCATAAAAAAACCCGCAACAACCATGGTTCTATTATCCAAGATGATGTGATTGCTTCGATGGCATGATACTGGGCATTTGTGAGGTGGCTTCGCACTGTCGATGACAACTCGCGATGGTCGATAGTGGGTTAATCGATAGTGGGTGAGGTTTACCATATAGTGGGTTAGGGATTAGGGGTGTTTGGGGGTTTTATGATTTTTGGGGTGTTTTGTGAAAAATAAGAAAATATATTAACCTTTTTTAAAATTTATAAATTTTATTTTTTTTAAAATTAAGTCACATATAAACAATGATTGATTGACTACTTTTTAATGAATTTTTTAGAGGTTGTTACAGTCCAGACACCTAAAAATATAACGTCGGATTAGGTACCTAAAAGTATAACAGAGAAAATATTAGACACATACTTTTAACGAAAATACTTTATGCACCTAAAGTTACTTTGGATATATTTGGACACTTGTTTTTGCATTAAGCCTTTTTAAGAACATACTTAATGTTTAGTTTATATTTCAATTTGGCACATCACCGTTAAAAACTTAATGGTGATATAGATATGTCATCATAAGATAATGTAATTTCATCATTGAAAAAATAAAAAAATATCACATCATCTATTTTGTTAAGTTTTTAACGATTGTATATCAAATTAAAACCTAAATTAAACGTTAGACATAATTTTGGATACCAAAACATAACAAAGTAATAGTTTAGATACTAAATATATAAATTACCTTATTAATAATTACCATGATTTGAAATGTCGAAGAGGGGATGTCTAAGGTACGACAATCTTAATATACGACTAAGGAAATACACTACCGGAAATGTTAATATATTTTTAATATTTCCGGTAAAGCGTTACCTAAAACATTATTTTTTTTATATACCAGAAATGTTAATATTGGACGCTTTAACATTTCCGGTAAAACGCTACCTAAAACATTATTTTTTTCTACTGAAAATGTTAATATTGGACGCTAACTAAAATGTTATCTTTTATATCTGAAATTAGGTAGTTAAATTAATATTTACGGTAAAAAAATATTTTAGGTAGTATTTTACCGAAATATTAAAAAATATTAACATTCCTAGTATAACCTCTCCTTAACCGTATATTAAGACTGTTATACAATATATCTATCTAGGAAAAGAAGGGTAGTTAGACATGTGATAATAACAGCCTAAAGCACCTGAAATCCAATGCTTAAGATTGAACTTTAGTATTTTGTTTGGAAGTTTGAATTTCAGAAGAAACAAACACTGCGGGTCGGTCAATCAATCTCAATAGTAAATTCACCTGAAAATAAATATTTCAGAGTTGTTTCAGAAGAACAAGCACATGCGGGGTTTTTTTTTCAAATTACAAATTCCTATTTCCTTTCTTTAATCACTAATAAACCTAATGATAAAAAAATAATATATCCATCTCTGGTATTTCTATTGCATCAATATGGGAACTTTCAGGAAAAGCAAAAATTAAGGGAGAAAACCTAAAATTGACCTGAATAGAGAAAAATCAAAGAAATGAAATCGTTTAAATAAAAAAATCCAATATTTGGTAATCTTCTTCTCTGTAACGTTGAGTATTTTGGATAGTCAAGTTGGTTTAAAGAAATGGATATTTTTCAAATACTGAAGTAAAACCATAAAGAAAAGAGAAAATCGCCTCAGTGACCAAAAAAAAGTTATAATATACGATTTTAACCAACTTTTTTTGGATTTGCCAAAATGACCAACAAAATCGCAACGCGAAATAAAAATCGCAACGCGATCCCCAGAATCGCAAATCAGTTTCCAGAATCGCAACGCGATTCTTGAAATCGCGATGCGATAGTACAAATTCGCATTGCGATTTTCCATAATCGCAACGCGAATATGAAATCGCAACGCGAACACATAAATCGCAACGCGTATCCGTAAATCGCAACGTGTATCCGTAAATCGCAACGCGTATGGTAAATCGCAATGCGTATCCGTATATCGCAACGCGTATCCGTAAATCGCAACGCGTATCCGTAAACCGCAACGTGTATCCGTAAATCGCAACGCGTATCCGTAAATCGCAATGCGTATCCGTAAATCGCAACGCGTATCCGTAAATCGCAACGATAATCCGTAAATCGCAACGCGTATCCGTAAATCGCAACGATAATCCGTAAATCGCAACGAGAATCTGTAAATCGCAACGATAATCCGTAAATCGCAACGAGAATCTGTAAATCACAACACTGAAATTTTGGGTATATAACACTGAAATCATAAACTAAATCCCTAAATCGCAACTCATTCCATCTCCATCTATCACTCTCTCCGGCGACATCCGTTCCTATATCCAACGACATCCTTCCCCATCCGGCAACAGGTCTTAGTTTCGCATCTCGTTTGTTTAGTTACAACCATGAAATCATCTAATGTTGATCATGTTTGGATAGATTTGTGTTTTGGAGGGTCATGGGATAATGTTAATGGTGTTTTACAATATATGCCTTTACCCATAAATCTTCAACTAAAATTGTCTTTACAAAAGTTAACTTATGAAACTCTAATGCTACGTGTTTCAAATAAATTGAATTTAGAGCCCCTAAGTGGATTTAGGCTATCTTATCAGAGAAATGGTAAAGTTTATTTGTTAACCGACAATGAAGATGTTGAACGATTCATTGCTTACATTAGTGTTTCACAAGATGATGTTACATTGTATGTTGTTGAACCTAGAAGTAGTATTGTTGGGTCAGTAGCGGGTAGTAATCAACTAAGTTTTTTCAAAACCCACAACCTTTCTCTAATCCAAATCCCAATCAACTTTCAGCACCAAATTCCGGTTTTCGTATTGACCAGTTAGACGATGATGAGCCAACAGAAAAAATTGTGAGTACTAGTCAGTATTCGAAATTTGGTCTTGGTCAATATCCGGACTTTGATATTGGTCAATACACGGATTTTGATGATGTTTCAGAAGAAGAAACAGACCATGCGTGTAATGATATTGATATTGGTCAATACCCGAATTTTGATGATGAAACAGCCGTTGCCGAAGAATGTAATGTTGATGATAATGAGGAGGAAGTTACGACTGTGAATGAACATGTTGAACATCCATTCTGTAATTCATATAATCCTGAAGAGAAAAAGAAGAAGAAAAAGTCCCCGAAGAAAAGAAAATGCCACGGGCGTATAACTGGAATATGCCAGAATTACTTCAGATACCGGAAGAGAGTTGATAAAGAAAGCAGTTGATTGTTACACAAAAGTTATTCGTATCAAGAAAGATGATTGTTTTGATACAAAGGAAGACTTGAAGATAGCTTTATATACGAAATGTGTGGAAGATGGCTATCAACTAAAAGTTAACAAATCAAGCAAAGATCGTTCGAAACAAGGTGTAGATTGACAAAAACTGTACGTGGCGTATGATTGCAAAGAGAATAAAAGATTGCAAAATGTTTCAAGTTAGGACTTTTATTGATAAACATACATGTTCAGAACCCAAGTTTTTCCTCACCATAGACAGGCAAACAAAAGTGTTGGGTGGTTTTCTGGCTGAGTTAATGTTTTTGAATGGCAGGGTATATCGGGGACAGAAATTATGACTGACATGAATGCTCGGTTCAAGATTAGTATATCATATTCTCAGCTTGGAGAGCCAAATGTTATGCCTTGGAATTGTTGAGGGGGTCGCCAGAAGCATCGTTTGCCCAACTGCCGGCTTATTGTCACAATTTAAAGCTGAAAAATCCTGGGTCGGTAACTCATATCAAACAGATAGAGATGGACGCTTTGAGTTGCTGTTTATCGCCATTGGTGCTACGGTTAGTAAATCAATATAATTTGTGACATCATTTTTGTTAGTTACATGCATTTCACATTTAAATGATTATATTTCTTGTGTATATTTTTTGTAGATTCGTTCGTTTATTACTTGCATGCGCCCAGTTATTATAGTTGACGGAGCACATTTGAAAGGTCGATACCTTGGAGTAAACTTATTAGCAGTAGCCATGGATGCTAACAATGGGATATTGCCAATAGCTTACGGGGTTGCAAATCTGAAACCTCTGATTCATGGACATGGTTTTGGGGCATCTTAGGGATTGCATAGGTCCTATTAGCATCTGACA